GCGAAAGTCTGTAGCTAAAAAGAGAGGTCAACACGTCAACAGTTCCGTGAAACAAACAATGTACCGGCTTAAAATGACTATAATCATGTTATTTTTTGCATCGCACATAATCAAGGCGTGGCGTCACGAAATATAGCGGGGCATACGAATCTTTTTAATTTATTAGAATAAAGAAGAGATGCTATGACGATACAATTTGAATATTGAGAAACAGTTTTAATAGTTAGATTATTAGTAAACAATATTTAGGGAGTTAGTAAATAAGTGCGACAAACTTCAGGGGGTGATTCTGCATGAAAAACTAATGAAAGTTTGCTATTTAAATGTATATCCGCAAAAACTTCGTTTCCGGGATAAAGTTTTTCTTAAAAACTGTTGATTTATGTATTGCTCTGAAACCGGTCGAGATATGCAAATTAAATTCGGTGGGTTTTAAGAGGTAGTTATTGCGCATTTTTTGACATGAAATTAAGAATTTTATGTTCATCATTGGCGCGCATACGGGTAATGATCTCAATTTTTTACAGAAACAAATTGAATGCCACTGAGATATTGCAAATTAAAAATTATTTTTTAATTACTCGTTCGAAACAGCTCTCTTGTCGTATGGGCGCCATTTTTTATGCAAAAAGAAACATTTTAACGAGTATTTTAATTTCTATAATGCTTTATCTAGTAGGCTACTAGCAACATTTATCTTATGTTAAACAGGAAGTGTCAACATTTGTCTTTTAACAAAATGTCAAATTAGCGTTTATTCATTATTGGGCTTTTAGTTTGCTATAACATTAATGCTATTAAGTAAGTAATATTTAATAGGAGAATATGTCAAAATAAGCACATGGCAAAAGCTTCATTAAAAGAGCATGTTCAAAAAGAACAGAAGATTGTCTAAGATCCGAAGTAAGGTCGACCTTCACCCATCTGTTTAACGGATAAAAGTTTCTTTTTATTAAATAAAATATATCGCACATGGGTTGCCTAAGAAAATACGGTCTTGATTATTTATTTTCCTAAAGTAAAAAAACGGCACCCTGTAAAGTATTCCCCGGATGCATCGACTATGCCCAAACTTTAATCAGCTCATCGCAGGATGAATTAAAGCTAAAGTATGTTTGGTGTTTTACTCTTCATCTGTTTTTGAGTTATCTTCAAAATTTATAATTTGCACTTTTCCTCAAATATCTAGAATTAGGTCCATTTTAGGGAAATCATGTAGAGGAACAAAATTATAGAGAATAACATCAAAAGTAACTGTTATCATGATTCCTATACTTTCCTTATATGTATACATAAAGGAAAGTAAAAAATGGCCGTGATCGTATTTTCTTAGGCAATTCATTTACGGTATATTTATAGACATATTTTATTTAATAAAAAAAACTTTCATCCATTAAACAGATGGGTGAAGGTCGACATTACTTACGGATCTTGTACTACTCTATGAGGAACCAGTTGAAAATAATAACAGAACTCATGACTATGCGTTTATCAGTAAAAGGACTCCTGAACAGAATAGGCATGCAAAATAAATAATTCTTGTATCGACTTTGTCACAAGGAACCAGAATCAATTAACAAAAATGAAAGGTAGACCGTTTCCATTTGACAAAATTTGGTTATGGTGAATTTAAAAGAGGAGATTTTTCAGAAACACTCTGTATAGGTAATACATAATTTCTGTGTCACTAAAGCAAAACTTATAGTAAAATAACACATGTCAGCAAAAACCGCACGTTTCTATGATTTGTTTAAAAGTTATACGCTCTGGAAATGGACTACTTTTTATTGGAACACCCTGTATATAGGATCGCAAAAGACAGACACTTTTTTAGAGGACCACATGTTTCTAAGACACATACTTTGATTACTATACGGTGCAAGAGAGAGGTCCGACACGCCCAACATAGGGTGCGGCCACAGTTTATAGCTAAAGAATCAGTTCGCTCACTCTGCGTCGGCACTTTTGATCTCAATGTTCCAGATTATACACTGCGCAACTCGGATAATACAATATATGACAACCGCCTATAACAAAACAGCAGTCTTCTGAGCATCCTGAATTTGTATCCCTGGAGTGGATGTTATTTTGGAACTTTCAACTGGTCTGAGTGAGCTAACTGATTCTTTAGCAATAAACTGTGACTCCAAAAATAATATTCACTGACAGCAGCAAGCAAAATATCAGGTGCGTTTTGTTCATCCGCTTCTGTTTCCGAAATTGTCGGTTTAGTCGTTTTAACCTGTCAGATTAAAACAAGAAAACCGACAATTCCGAAGCAGAAGCGGATGATTAAAACGCAAATATTAAAAATATTGCGCCAAGATGTAGGCAACACGTAATAAGGCGTCAGAATGGCGGATTTTTTTATCTCCTTTTAAAAGGCACTCAGAAGCTGCGCAATGCGACCATTCTCCGTATAGTAAGAGAAAATCAAAGTATGTGTTCTAAGAGCATTATATGACAATCAGTCAAAGACCTTATAAACTTGAAGTGACAAGGTGACAAACTGACCAAACATGGAGTTAAACACAATAATTAAACAAAATAATCCTTTAACCTACAGTATTATCGGAGACTTGTACAAACTTATACAAGGAACAAAGGTGACAAAGTGGGTATTATGAACTACAGTCTGTTCCCTATACTTACGCGAGTTTCGGATTAACAAAATTATGCAAATTAGTCATTGACAGCCAGTTCCAATAAATCTCTTCCCAAGAAATTAGGTAAAATTGCCCTAATGGTCAGATTTAAATTAAAATAAGGGTAGGTACTAAATTTGTTACAAATATTGCAGTTGAATTGACTCTTTGCAAGTGTTGACATTGTATGTATATTGTAAATTTAGTGGAAATTTTAAAAATGCCTAGACATGGGTTAGATGTAGATAGTCTAATTTGTAGTGTACATAAGTATTTTACGGATGAAAAAGAAAATGGCGGTCCTTTAAAATCGGTAATGTCTGTACAACAACGCGTATGCGATGTTCTAGGAATTAGTGAAACCAAATTAAGAGGAGTATTACAACTGCCGAAAGAAGGTCACCGCAAAACTCGCCTATCATTGAAAACGAAAGATATTCCAGATGGAAAGAAATTTGAAATTCGTGATACCATTTATCGAATGAGGGCCACCAAGGAACATGTGACCTTAAATACAATTCTCTCGGAATTAATAGATAAAAAATTTGGCGACATTGGCAGAACAAGTCTATGGCAAGTTTGGGTTTCAAATTTTAAAAGGAGGATAACAGAAAGGCCCTTTGTGAAAGAAGTTCTGTCGTGCACAAGAGAATTAACTTTGTAAGAAAATATTCTAAATTTGAAGAAGAAGGGGCGAATTTTATATATTTAGACGAAACATGGATATTTTCTAGGGGTGCAACCAAGAGAATATGGCAAAATGATAACGTAAAGTCCATCAAACATACCGATGGAGAAGAGAAGCGACACATAATTTTACATGTAGGAGGGAAATCTGGTTTTATAGAAGGTGCTGATGTAATATTTTCATCTAAATCAAAATCCAGTGACTATCACGATAATATAAACACAGAAATGTTTGTAAAATGGTTGCATGAAAAACTTCTCCCAGGTTTAAGTAAGCCCAGCGTAATTATTTTAGACAATGCACCTTACCATTCTAAAGTATCAAACAAAAGTCCAACGAATTCTTGGACTGTTGATAAAATTAAAGAATGGTTGACAAAGGAACATATACAATTTCCTCAATATATATTAAAATCAGAATTATTACGCTTGGCAAATATACACGCAAAACCAAAAACCTTTGTTGTGGATCAGATTATTGAAAGTTACGGTCATCAAGTTTTACGTCTGCCACCGTATCATTGCCAGTTTAATCCCATCGAATATATATGGGGAATAGCAAAAAAATATTATGACAACCATATTGGGCCTAATGGTTATAGTGACGACGCAGTTCGGGAAACTTGGCGAAAAGCACTTTCAATTGCAACTCCAGAAGTGTGGCGGAACTGTATATCCAAGTGCGAGAAACTAATAGAAGATTGGTGGACTCGTAAAAATAAAATAAACGAAATAAGTCCAATCATAATAACAATTAATGGTGATGACAGTGATGATGATGACGATTATGGTATTTTGGATGATAAAGACTGATTTTCATTTTTGTTGGCAAGTTCAAATTTTTTATTTTTCATTTGAAATTCTCTACTTGGAACAAATTTTGTTAGAAAATATTTTATTTTAGCTAAATAACCCTCTTATTATACATATACATTATTAGGTTTATAATAGCCACATTAGACTCCATTAATGAAGAAGTTTAATTCTGCTCTCAATTATACAAAAGATTCTTCATTATTATTTAATTAAAAAGTTGTACATTATTTTTCATTTTATTTAACCAGTTGATATTTCCCCAAAGAACGTCAAACTTTCGGGTACTTACCTAGAAATACTCGTAAAATTTTTAATCTGAAACCCGCGTAAGTATAGCGAACAGACTGTAATATGGGGATGGGACGTTTCAAAAAAATTGCATATCTGTGTTTTAATTTCTTACTTTTTTCGTGATAAATCTGATGTCCTAATAATACTTTTCTTTTGGATAGGTATATTGGTTTTTATAAATCCTAACTATTTTAAAGAAATATTATAAGAAAAAAAAATTGATATGAGATCTAGTTACCTTATTTGGCATTTATTGTTTACCTGGGATGAAAGTATTATAGGAATATAGCTGGAAATGGGATTACTCACTTCTTTTAATCACTTTTTGAACTTAAAGTAAATATAAATTGTATTGCTCGTATTATATTAATTACATATAAACAAAGAACATTTTTGAATATCTAGTATTTTGTGATTCTTTGGTGTAAGTACCTGTGTCGATATAACGTTTGTTTCGCAAAAGTGTGTCAGTATGAATAAATTTTATCTAAAAGAGATCTTTGATAAATTTAGCAAAAAAGATAACGATGTCAAATTTTGGAGATGTGAAAAAAAAGTGGAATGTGTAATGCACGATTACAAACTAGAAATGGCGAAGCGATAAAAAAAGTGAACATACGCACTCATGGAGCTTCGGCAGCAGATAAAGAAGCTGTGCAAGTAGTAACAGCCGATAAAAGACGCGCTGATGTGCAACTGAAGGAACAATTCAGGTAATTAAGAATTTATTGAACATATACAGTATTTCCAACATACTCCATTTTTAAAATTTTGTTTTTATTTCTTAATTAAAAGTTATTAACAAAAGTTTGGGTAATATTACTCAGGCTGTCCAAGCCCGACTGCCCAATATTTGCGCACTGAGGAAAACTATCAGACTAAAACGCAACGAGATTTAAGCTGCACCGCCAAATCCTATTACTCTTCAAGAATTGCGCATACCATAACCTTATAGAATTATACAAGGTAACAAGATGGCATTGAAGAAAATTTTCTTTTAGCGGATAGTAAAGAAGGTCAAAACAGAATTTTAATTTTTGGACTCCGCCAACATGGTTTACAACCGAAATATACACAAAAAACCTATGGAACCTGAGTAGAAGTTCCAGAAATTTGCTCCGGAGGCCTCAAAAAGCAAAAATCCTGAAAACAAAAAAAAATTGATATTCGCACCACAAATTTATCGGTAAATTATCGCGCAAACTTAATAGCACTCCATTACACAACATAATACGGCGAAATGGCTGCCGGCGAACTGGCTTGACGCCGATGGCGAAACGGCAACGGCGAAACGGCGCCGGCGAAATGTCCTAGACCCCTGTAATATGGAGTTAAACACAATTATACACAATAAGCTTTTGCAGTGTTATCGGCGACTAAGTTAGAAGAGCCCAAAAAAACACCTTAATTTAGATAGGTATAAGGATAGCAGTTTTGGAAGTATTCATAATAAATATTAAATTGCAGCCTCCTATACATTACGATACAGTTTTTTCGCATATAAAAACTTTCACTGCGATCGTCCTATAGCCTAGAGTAAGAAGGTTTTCTCGTCTGCATAAAAGATACGGTTTCATCAAGGGATATTGCATCATAAAATTCGGATGTTTAAATACACGCAAATAAATTGAATCTTTTGTTTCATAAATCAAAGTGAAACGTATTGGATCTTCGATAAGTAGGATGTGAAATTGGATTTTTAATCCCAGACTACTTTCCAAGAATTTACGCTATTGTGATACGAGCTCTGTGCATACATTTTTTGATTTATTTTGATTTCATTTCAATCTAATTTATAGTAAGATAAGGTATACAGGGTGACGGATTAGTGCGTAATTGTTCAATATTTCAATTTGTGTTATAGACACACAAAGAAGCTTCAAATAAAAATAAAAGTTATATGAATTTAAAAAATACGTATTTTAAAAATATTTTTGGATATACAGGATGTTACGTTTTTGCCTGGAAAATAAAAATGTATATTTTTTTAAATGGTATTAATTAATTGGTGGTATAACATACAGGGTATTCCATTTCAAAAAATGAGAAAATCGTAACCTCGCATTTTGACACATCCTATATACAACATAGCAAATAATTGAAGTCTATTAAAATTGTTTAATTATGTAAAAACAATCAAATCTGTATAGCTACCTGTTTTAAAAATGTATAGGTTTGGTTAGCCCGTCATTTATGGACCAACCTGTATATTTAAGAATAATTGTTAAATATGGTCATATTTTATATTAATTTTTTTTTCGTGTTTCCAATAATAAAACAGCACTGATGGTACAACCTGCACGTGTTATTGGCTAACATGTTGGTAAAATAATTATATAGGGTGTTGCATTTGAAAAAATTGAGTAAATTGAACTTAAAATTTAAGACATGTTTCAAAACAGTATAAAATAAAGCAGTTCTATCATCACTATTCTATAGCTTAGTATCTTATAAGTTTGTAAATTAAACAATTTTGAAATCAACGTAAACCTACCTAAATTATAATAAAATTTATTTTGGGATCTGCATAGTTCTCTAATTTCATAAAAATATTAATTGCTTGTAATGTAATATCTTGAAGAAAAATTCTTGGGTTGACTATACTGTATTCAAACCATTCTAAAACTGAAATAAAATACTGTTCAACTCAAAAAATATACATTTTTGGCCAGGCAAACACGCAACATCTTGTATATCCAATAATATTTTTATAATACGTATTTTTTAAATTCAAATTACTTTTATTTGTTTGCATGTTTATAACACAAATTGAAATATTGAACAATTACGCACTAATGGGACACTCTGTATACTCCTTTTTAACTGTAATTACTTATTTAACCAATTTTCTAATGAAAAATATTTGAAAACCATTTAATTTAAGGATCAATTTATTAATATAAACTAGCAAGGAACATTATACAGATTTAAATGGAACATTATACAGAAAATTATTAAGAAAATTATAGAGAAAATTATATAGAAAATTATAAAGAAAATTATATAGAAAATTATAAAGAAAATTATAAAGAAAATTATAAAGAAAATTATAAAGAAAATTATAAAGAAAATTATAAAGAAAATTATAAAGAAAATTATAAAGAAAATTATAAAGAAAATTATAAAGAAAATTATAAAGAAAATTATAAAGAAAATTATAAAGAAAATTATAAAGAAAATTATAAAGAAAATTATAAAGAAAATTATAAAGAAAATTATAAAGAAAATTATAAAGAAAATTATAAAGAAAATTATAAAGAAAATTATAAAGAAAATTATAAAGAAAATTATAAAGAAAATTATAAAGAAAATTATAAAGAAAATTATAAAGAAAATTATAAAGAAAATTATAAAGAAAATTATAAAGAAAATTATACAGAAAATTATACAGAAAATTATAAAGAAAATTAGAAAGAAAATTCATTAAAAAGAAAATTATACAGAACATACTGAAGTTCGATAAAAGGTAAGAAATAATCTGTATTTGCGAAAAAACATCGAGAAAAACTGAATTTATAAGATTATAAAATAAAAAAATTGAGTTGATTTTTGCTGTAAAAAAACGACTTGCACATGCACTAAACATAAAAATAACAAAACAAGTGGTACGGCCATTTAAAGTTAAAGGTAAGAACAGTAGATTCTGAGAGTTTCAGATTTTTACCTGGCAGTCAACACGTTCATTATATAACCTGAATAATGCAATTTTTGAAAATTTCAAAACTTCAAGCAAAGTTTTTTTTTGCAAAGAGTGGGCTGCTCAGATTGACTTGTGGCTGTATTTTATCTATGATATAAACACTTAATTTCTGAGGAACCTAAGCTGCTAAGTCTAAGCAGTTAAAACGCTAGAGTCGATTGAAATTCACGAAATATTATTAAAAAACACTAATTTTCAGCACGCTGCCGTTAATCAGAGGTATTGACTGAGCAAATTATCGATGCTTACACTTAAACTACTATCTTTCCCCCTCAGAATTCCGCTTCAAAAAGAAAAATTTCAGAGGAAAAGTCGATAAGGCTTAAAAATATTGATTTTTTAAAGTCTTTATTTAAATAGGCGAAAACGAGTGCTTATAAAAATCAAACTCGTGTAAATTTTCTTCTTTGAGACCCTAAGGAATAGTTCCTCGAAGTTACACCAAAATCTAAGATGGGTCAGCTTTGCCAATTAGGCGATTTTAAATAGAATGACTCTTTTATATTTGTAAATGTAAATTCACTAAATTCAGACCAGATTGCAAATACCTATTCCAAATAAAAAAAAAAATTCTTCAAATCTTTATTTTATTTAATATTTTTTTTTTCTGACGTTAGGAATCTAACCTAGTGGATTTCAAGGCTCTTTAAATAATTCGTTATGCACCTATAGACTAGATTGGGATTGCCTCATTCCTATTTTTATGTTTATTAACAGCAGACTGCGACAGTTGTTTTTGAAAGCAAGGGTCAGCCAGTTCATTCAAAACAACTTAATATGTCTAGATTTTTTTTAAACAGTAATGTTTTTTAATACTTTAACTAAAAGATAAAAAAGAAATGAAAATACCTACAATGAAATTATGTAAAAAGTAGGAACGTCTACCTAATAGGTATTATTTGAATAGCTATACAGAGTGTTTTAAAATATCCTGTATATACAGAACGAAGTAATTATTTGGCTTATTTCATGACTATGGGGATGGTCTTAATAATCGTAGGGGGATTTTTGAAATTTGTTGATTTGCGATATCACGATAAATAATTCACAGTTTTCACATACAGGTTTACGTCTCTTAACGTACCTACATTGAAAACTTATTGATTAAATTATGTTAAATTACATAAAATTGACATTACCGATTACTCATCCTGGATTGAGACTAATGTGATTAAGTTACATCAATACATTCTAAATAAAAGAATAAGAAACGCAGTAAATAAATAGTTAATAAATACAAAATAGACAAAAAATAGATAGTAGATACCTTATAGTAGGAACAGCAGACAAAAACGATGAACCGGTGGCAGATATCGAGTAAGTGATAAGTCATATGCATTAGTTCTTTCTTAATTTAACTCTAACCGTTTCTATAAAATATTTGTTCCCCGAGGTGGGTCTTTATTGATGATAAATTATTGCTTAATCCGCCTAATATCCTAATTTTTCTATTAATTTATTTTTTAACATCATAATGCCCTGACGGCTAATCATAATATGGGTAAATAACCACAATGAGTCAATTCTATCAACCGTCTACTTAATAAGTACCTGAGGACCTGTTTTTCAGCCGCAAATTTGCATCCGTTTTAAAAGTTTTTACAGTGTTCACTGTTCTGTCCTTGAGAAATTTATTCGTGCAACGTCAACATGACTTGACTGTCTCATTCCACCATTTGTGTTGTGCTACGCTTACGTTGTTTTGCTACGATCAGTACAATCAAGAGGCAAAGTATTATACGAGGATGACTTCATATGTATTCAAATCTGTCCCCTAAAAGAAATACACATGTTAGCTTTCAGTATTTATTAGATAAATATTTGCTAGACACTCCCTGTAGTATTTTTGGATGCGGTGCGTCTTTCGCTGACAGAAGATATTCTAATATTTGGATGAGTAGACAGACGCAGTTTTAACAAGAAAGAAAGGGAAATATAGACCGGCATTGAGACATTCATAATTAGCTGTTCAATCATTATTGATTAATAAAGTTTATTTTTGTAAGGTGAATTTCTATTACCCCTTAGCTAATACACAGAAGCAGATAAATGTTTGTAAAGTAGAACCAGAAATATTGGAAGGTCGTACTTACTGTAGCGTTTCTAAAATCGGTAAAGGGGCCAATTCTCAAAACAGGTAACTAAATACTCTTAATTCCCCGTTACTTATTTAACATTCTCTAATCTGTCTGGAATTATACGACTCGCTATCTTAAACAAAATACTTTATAATATATTTTACAATATACTTTACAATATTCTTTACAATATAATTTACAATATACTGTACAATTTACTTTACAATATACTTTACAATATATTTTACATTACAATATACTTTAATTTATAATATATTTTACTGTACAATATAATTTACAATATACTTTTAAATATACTTTAATTTACAATATACTTAACTTTACAATATAGTTTACAATATACTTTACACTTTATTTAATTTTCTTTACAAAATAATATTTCATAAGATATTTTAATCCAGACTGTGGTGCCTTTGAAGCACTACATACTAACTTTAAATTAGATGACATACATGTCCCACATATCAACCTTACCATTTGTGGCAGCTTAGTGGAAGGCAAGATTTAAGCGCACCCGCCTATCTACTTGACGACCTCGGTTGCCAGTCATTAATAATATTTATATACACAAATGTCATTATATTTTTCTGTTATGTTGGAATTACTAACTTTTTTATATATTTATTTATATATACTCTCTTACAAACTGCTGTTTAATTTACAAAGTTAAAATATTCCATACAGACCTGGAAATGTTTTAAGGGACACACAATCTTATTGCTTATCTACATTTCGAACAATACGTAATAATGAGGGTCGTCGGCTATTACTAATTGATGACCCTACATTATTTCTGGCTCTTCGTCACTCGTTACTTGTGAGTTCATATTGGCCAGGAACTCAAAACTTTCTTGAAATCGATTATTATTTACTATAGAAACACTAATAATAAATTGTCGGTTTTATTTAAATTTTTACAAGCTATGTTACATCCCGCTTCACTTATAATATACAACAATCCATTAAAAATGTTACCAAAGTAGACCTGCAAACATCCAATATTTGGATTAAATTCCCATCCTCGTATAAAGATCAACAAGCTATGCTAAAGTAGCAAGAACATTTTAATTTTTTTCAGCTGGTATAGACGTGGTATAGACTGTACACATGTACCCATATTGAAACCATTTTAACAGAAAAAAATTTACTAGTATCGGTGCATGCAAAAAGTTCACGAGTGTAGATACTTCTTTACCATGATCAATACAAGACTCTGGGTCCTAGACTCTAGGATCTAGAGTCTAGGATATGGAAAAATTCTGATATATTTTGTAATGAAAATTCAAACCACCACCTTTACTATAACTAACGAAAACCTTTATACTTAGCCCGGCTAGCCTATGGTATCCTCTTCATATGTATTTAGTCCTTAGGGGAGATTCAATTAATTACACCAATAACAATGTTTAATTTGGAGATATAGCCTTTGGCGCCCAACGTGGGGCCACAAGCTGTCAAACTGACAAACGTTGAGCAATAATACTATCAGGTACTAAAGCTGTCAAACTGACATAAGTAGTACAGTGAAAGTAAAATTTGTGAAACAAATATACAGAGTGTTTCCGAACTTGGCGTCCAAATTTGTAGGGGTGGCAGTTCGCATAATTTGAGAGCGATTGGCAGATTTAATTTTTCTAAAAAATTATAATAAACAAATAGAGCCATTATAAAAAAAATCAAAGAGCGGGTCCTACCCAGCGCACTAGTCGCTTGATCGGTTGATCATCGGGATTTACAACTCAAAAACAGATGAAACAATTCTAAGCGTAGCGCGCGCGAGTCGAGGTGCACTCGTCGCTGTGCAGGACCGTACCTGTTTAAAATTTTTAATTAATTTTTAATTATTTTTATTTTAAATATTTTGAGAAAAATGAAATTTGCGAATCGGTCTCAAATTATGCGAACTACCACCCCTACAAATTTGGACGCCAAGTTCGGAAACTAAAATAAAATATTTAAAGAACTAGGTAGGGTTGAATAAAAAAACCGGTCAAGTGCGAGTCGGACTCGCGCATTAAAGGTTCCGCACCATCGTACAAGATTTAATACTGTGTATGTACTTTTTAAATACTTCATTAATATCAAGCAAAAAAAACAAGGAAACACGTTTCTAGTAGAGGGCCCCCTTTAAATTTTTATTTATTTTTATTGTTTTTTGTTGTAGCGGCAATATAAATACATATTCTGTGAAAATGTCAACTGTCTACCTATTGCGGATGATTGACAGACGGACGGACAGCCGAGGCTTAGTAATAGGGTCCCGTTGGTTACCCTTCGAGTGCGGAACACTAACAAAAAAGTGTTGCGACAATATTAGTGTTGACTAAAATAAAATAAAATAAAATGTATTATTATTAAAAAGAAAATGGAATTGAGAGGAGAAAAAAAGGTTGGACAATCACAAGAAGACGACGATAGAATAAGATGTGTCACAACTAGAAAAATTAGAACATACTAGAACATAATTTTGAAAAAATAACGCTTTAAAGTGATGAAAGCAAAAAAGGGAAAGATGAAGTAATTCAGGAAGGAGAAGAAGCAGTGGGAACAAGTATTACTATTATAATAGAAACTATCAAGACTAAGAAAGAAAATAGGAGAGAATGATGAAA